AGACGAGCATGCCGCGCGAAACATCGGTAGCGCAGCAATTCGCCATGCGTTGAAAGCTGTACCGATATATTTCACATGGCGAGGCTGGGTAAGAACGCGCTGCGCGAACGCGCAACGGTTGCGATCATCGCTCGAATCAATGCAACATCGTACATGCGCGTTGAATTCGCGATAAAGACGAGGCGATAATGATGGTATGTTATAGAAGAAGAGATGCGAAGGAGTAGTACGTTCGATCGAATCAAGGTAACGCGATGCACGCGTCTCAAGAATTAGCGCCGGAGTTTTGCCGATCTCCGAACGAAGTCACCAGCTGCGTGCCATCCCCTCCCACCTTCAACCCCCAGCAATGAGTCTACACCTGCTTCCATCCCCGATAGTCAATACACGTATCATTCGGGCTACGCAGATGGTCCCTCTGCTCTACCACCATCGATTACATCCATAATAGACCATCACGATGTACCGCAGTCTTACAACACCAGCATCACCGCCGTCATCACGCCGGCCGCCCATCCCACCATCCTAGCACTGATATCAGCCCCAGCACTATCCCACGGCGTCTGTTCCTCTGGTACACGGCTTCCCTCCACTGTGTTGTTCGCATTCATACACACGAACTCGACGCTGGTCTGCACCAGATTCGAATCCGGGTCAACAAATCGTCCCAGTAGCACGACTGGAATCGTCTGGCGCGTTAAGAGATCATACGTCTCATTCGCAGCGGCATAGAAGTTATCGGACGGGCTGACGCCTGCGTTTGTCCCGAACGTGTTGTAATTGTCTGGAATTTGCACCTCCTCGGGTATGTTGTTGTAGGCGCACGTGCCGTTGGTCACGTCTTGACGGACCGTGTCTGTGCGACCTTGTCAGCTATATGTACAAAGGCTGCAGCTTCCGAGCCGCAAGTCAATCGTATCTGTTCTGTGCAGGGGAAGGAAAAACAAAGTGCATATAGAAGGTTTGTACAGGGGCAAGGGAAGGAACGTACTGTGTGAGCCGCCACTCAACATTGGGCACGCCTTCTTGAACTCATCTGATACGGACGAAGTATCTTTACTAGGACAGTAATTCGAGGTACCAGAGGTATCACTAAGTGCCTTGTTCAGGTGGTCCATGCAGTCGGAGCTGATCACACCGCTACAGCTATTCTCCCCTCCGGCTTCTAACGTCGCATTAATGTTGCTCCACTGATACTTGCAGAGCTCGGTATTGTTGGGCACGTTTCCAGGTACGGAGATGTAAACATGTCCTCTGAGATCGTCATAGCGAGATCCGACGAGGACAGAGACATACCACGGGTCATCGCCGGCGTAGGAGGAGTTCCAAGTAAATTCGTGCTGGCCGGTTGAGTTCACGGCCGTGAATTCGTCGAAAAAGCCTCGACAGGAGGAGTTTTGCGCATGGACGACCGCTGTGGTGAGGAGTCCTGATATCGTAAGGAGCAGCAACTTTGGATTGTCATATGTCCACATATTGACGTAGCATAAGGGTAAAGCCGTAGACGTTTGATCGTTTGGACTTGCGAGAATGCATCTATATATACGTGGCGCGGTTAGGCACCCTATGGGAATGACGCACTAGCCAAGAGTGTGGTTAATACGGACGCGATCGACAGAGCTCGGCATGCCTTACCCGCCTAAACGAACATTGTGTGGCAGTAAATCCATGTCGCAATGAAGTTAACAATTTGCAATCAATTGCGCTACGCTGGCGGAGAGCAGTGCCCGTAAGCGCTGGGGCCGACTCAATCCTGCGCTAACGGATACTCCGACGGCGCAATAGTACTACAACATGAAGGTTTCCCCGCAACAATGCTATACATAAGGAACTACGATACATTGTAGTCTTATACTAGAAGGAGAACAACAACGAAAGCAAGAAAAATGAAGATATGCCTTCCATCAAAACCCAGCAATCAACCTGCTCCTTGCCATGCCGCCTACATCGCTCTTGCGCTTCAGCTTCTGCGGCAGGTCATCGACAATGAAGTCGCCAAGTCCGTCTTCATCCTCGTCATCGTCGTGCGCATCCTTCATGTCGTTGGCAACACTCATCTTGACAAACTTCCTATCGCCTGATGATGCCTTGCTGGCGCCAGTCTTTCTTGAGCCCGAAGAAACCGCCGGTGCATGCCTGGATTTGGCCTTCTTGGGGGCAGAAGAGCGACCAGAACCGACGTTGTCGCTTCTCTTTCGCTTCCGCTGCTCTTGCTCTTTGGCTTTAGCAGCCTTGTTCTCAGCCTGCTTCTTCTCCCATACCAGCTTCTCGGCCTTGACGCGCGCATCTCGTTTTGCCTTCTTATGCATCTCACGGGTCGCTTTTTGCTGCTTCGCCTCCGCTTCAGCTCGCTTAAGCTTCAGTTCCTGGTTGTAGAGCTTCACTTCACCCTGTGCAAAGTCGGCGGCTCTGAAGCGGCAACCGAGTACCTCCATTAGCTTGGCGTAGGCCTCGTCGTCGATGATCAAAATGTCTACGAGGTATATCCTATCCCTGTTGTCGATCTCAAGCCCTCGAATCTGCGCTTCCTCGAGAAGCTCTTGTTGCTTCATTTCCTCGTATGAGGATTTTGCTAGGCGCTTTGGCTCCCTCCATGGGTTGTGCGCAACAGCCATGTACCGATCGATTCCTTGACGCTGTTGCGGGTGACGAGCGACTGTGCGCTGTCGAAGTGATGGCGCCGAAGTTGATGTAGTCTCAGCGATGGTACGCTTTCGCGCAATCGCTGACTTGACCTGGGTTGTATTCATCTTAAGGGAGGATTCCACGCCGTTGATCTCTGCGATGAGTGATGTAAACATCTTGGTAGTGTGAAAGGTTAGCTGAGATGGGGGAGTGTTTGTTGTTACGGCGACTGGATTGTTGAAAGTAATCCAAGAGGTTCAGAAGCGGTCAGTTGAAAAGGAGAGGCAAGTTGGCGGCGAAGAAGGAAGGGCCTGCATTCATTGGGAATAGCTCTCACTCAGGTTAGTGGGTGCAGGTGATGTGATACCAAGTCTCTGGAAGTGAAAGTGAATGTACTACGTTCGGAGAGTGCGGCAGAGCACGGGAGAAGGGAAAGTGGGCAGATCATTTTCACAGCGTAGGCAATACTGTGGTCATCAACGGCATTGTAAGAGGTCTGGTAGTAACATTGGTCGAGTGAAGACGAATTCGTTGGCAAAACTGTGGGACAACTACACCAACACCAATGGGCTTTCTGTGATGACCCCCACGAACTTCAAAACAAGCGGTTCACTTTCGATCCCCTGACCTTTCACCATCTCAGCAGACCGCCTTACCTCCCTCCTGTGGAGCGGCGACGAAGATTTCCATAGGTTCACCTTCATCTTCCTCCTCATACGCCCTACACTGGGCGATCCATGCCCTCCTGTCTTCCTCCTCCCCCAGCCTCCTCTGCTCCTTCCCCTCCTTCCACGCCTTCCTCTCCTCAGCCATGAGGCACACCAATCTGATCCTCAGCCCCCATTCACTCAAGCTCTTTTCCTCTCCCTCGTCGAGGTGTTCTCGTTTGAGGAGTTCATGCTGCATTTGCAGCACCGTCATTTCGTTCCAGCGCGACAGGCGCGACAGTGTGGCGCCTTGGTGGTAGTATAGTGTGTCTGCTAGGTGGTGCAGACTCACGCCGCGGCGCCGTTGTTGCATCAAGATGCGATGTTGAGCGGGGTGAAGCGTCGCGAAGACGGCTTGGAGAGTGCGGAAGGGGAGGAACTTGAAAGCGAGTTTGATGAGCTTTTCGGGTGCGAGCCCGTGGACGGTTGATAGGCGTTGGCAAGACATGTTGTGGTTTTGGGTTGTGCTTGCTTGTGTTGTGGATGTGGTTGCGTGTTGCAAGAAAAGTTTGGAATAGTATGTCTTTGGGCTTTGGGACATGTGCGGATGAAATTGAATGGAAGGATGGAGGAGGCAGGAGATGTGAGTTTATATACTATCTGCAGAACATTGTAGAAGAGAAATGGTATCGCGTGCGTCCCGTGTTTGCGCATCCAAAACATGAGCAGATAGACTCACCCTGACCATATGACCTTATACCTCTACCAGTAGTAAGTATCCTTATTCCTCTTAGACAGCCAGTCGCAAGACCAAAGAATAATCCAACATATCCAAGTGGCACTTTAAGCGAGCAAAACATATCAGTGCCAGACACGCAGTGACTCACAATGCGTAGCATTGAGTCAAAGTGAGGATCGTTATCTGGTTCAGGCTCCTGCTACCGGACAATGACTACAGTCTGGCAGTAGACTGGTCTATTTTGCTAAGGCTGCGTACGGTTCACCATGCGCGACCATGGCTGCCAAAGGGATGTAGTCCTCGTATATCGCACTAAGCCTTTGGGAAAGGTAGCCTATAGAAATGCTGCCAATATTCATGTTCAGCGCAAATGTGCTCTCGGTCATTACCTCCGTACGCGAACAGACCACCCGCTCGAGCTTAGCGAACTGAGATCGCGATCACGAGGCCTACACTGCAGCCTGTTCTCTTGCTATTTCTAATCCCACAGTCTGGGAGGAGTACGCTGATATCGGTGTTGGCCAATTCTATTGCGAGGTCGAGGAGTGTAATGCTGGTTGAGTGCCGACAATGATTTTTTCGATTCCTCCGGACCCAGTATTCTCTTTTGTCAGCAAGCATTTATCTGGAGAATGCATCCAGGAATTCCAAAGTCGAAGTCTTTACCGACCTCCATGTAGCAGTCTAAGGCAGCGGATTTGCGTGGCCGCATCGAATGTTGTCAATCGTCGCTAAGCGACTGGAGATATTCTTTTACGTATCGTGTTTCCGACTATCACCTTTTGACATCGGAAGCATTTCGCTTAGAATTTAATACATGGGTGGCATGCCGCCAAGCGTGGTGTAAGTTCCGCGAAGTTGGAAAGTTGCTGTCTGCCAACCGTGGTACGCCCGAGCATCGGCAAAGGTTGCTCGAAAGCTGTAGTCTTGCGTGTGACCAATCCCAATAAGAATATAGGAGAATGCGTAGTGATCTATCGCGGGACTTGTCACTTTGCTGTGCTGTCAGCGCTTCCACCCTTGGAACGCAAATCATACGTCTTGTCAACCGCTATAAAGCGCCTTTGTGCACGTTTCCTCACGGCTTCCTCTTTCCGTTCCGCTTCTTTGCGTTTCGCGTCGAGACGTTCTTGTTCGAGAGCTTTGAGATACTCTGCCTTTCTGAAAGCTGAGGGCCAGCCATACTCTTTCAGTAAGCGCTTCGGTAGCTGTTCATTCGCTTAGTGAGTCTTTGGGTCACGTTTGCCGAGAAGATCGCACTCACCTGTGCATTGTTGTCTCGATGATCCACCATCTCGTTGTACCATTGATAGCAACCTCGCGTCAATGGTACAGGGACTGTGATCAAGGTTTCTATCTCGTCGTGGAGCTCATCGAAGTACTGCTGAATCTCTTGAGGCTTTGCGGCTCGCCGCCAAGGCTGGTCTTCTGGCGCACTACGGTCTACAACGAACGGTGTCATGGGCCAGATTATCCCTAGTGAAACCTGTCAATATCCGATGATGCACGTTGTATGCGGCTCATACCTTGGTCCGTATCTATCATCCACACTGTCGCTTCGTTGCCCTGGCTCAACGGTATCATACCAGCAGGTATTTCCTCCTCCTCCCCACATGGCGACATATACCTGATAGCGTCCTTTTTGTATTCGTCTTTCAGCCAGCCATAATTGCGAAGGTAATTGCATGCTTCCGTTACGATGTAGACCTCGTGTTTATCGTCAAACATATTCCTACTCAGATAAGGCAAGTGACGCAAGAGATCAATGACTCTGTCCGACCGTTTCCACTCTTGTAATGTGTCAACAGCAAGCTGCTCATCACTCCAACCTTCAGGCGGCGGGCGGAGGATCGTATCCGAGTCGAGGTAGGCCATGCGCACGAGCAAATCATAGTGCCTCTCGATGCAACTGACGACTACATCGCGATCGTAAGGCATGGTGTGGATGATGGGGTTGTAGTGTAACGCTAACCAACTGGAACGTGGCTAGATCAATTCTACCCGTGGTCCGCCCAAACATCGGCAAAAGTTGCCGCCGACGACCTCGGTCTGTTTGTCCTGTTTGCACGCGACGGCCTAACTTTATGGCCAGACAGCAACACTGAAACACTCCAACCCATAAGACAACATACGCCCAACTCTCTCCAAGCTAACCGCATAACAATTAACACACTTTCACGAAATCGCCATATCGCCGACATCCTCGAAACCGTCCCTTTCGCCGAAAACACCAGACCAGCGGTCAACGCCGCATACAAACGGACCTCACGAGCGGGCGGACGATACACAGGGAGAACAACATGGGTGGCTACTTATCGACGTTTACAAAGCTGATATGGGCGAAGAAGGAGATACGGATATTGATTCTGGGGCTGGTAGGAACACCTCAGCATGGCCAGTATGGGAGCCATGGCGCTGATTACAAATGCAGGATAACGCTGGAAAGACGACGCTACTATACAGACTGAAGGTACGCGATATCTGGCATGACTACATGGAAACATATGGATTCTGGGTCGGGATGGTCAGAAGTACGGAGGCTAACAACCCCTCCAGATTGGAGAGGTAGTCACAACGATACCAACAATAGGCTTCAACGTCGAATCCGTCACATACAAGAACCTCAATTTCAACGTCTGGGTAAGTTCACCTCCCACCTCCCCCTCCTCCAGAACCACCTACCTTCCCCCATCCACACCCACAACAACCATCTAACACCCTCCCCCCCCAGGACCTCGGCGGCCAAACCTCCATCCGCCCCTACTGGCGCTGCTACTACGCCAACACCGCCGCCGTAATCTTCGTAATCGACAGCACAGACATCGAGCGCCTGACCACCGCCAGCGAAGAACTGCGCGCCATGCTCAACGAAGAAGAGCTCCGCGACGCCGCCCTCCTCGTCTTTGCAAACAAACAAGATCAACCGGGTGCCAAGGGCGCGGGCGAGATCAGCGAGGCGCTCAAGTTGGGGGAGCTCAAAGATAGGAATTGGAGTATCGTGGCGTGTAGTGCGGTGGATGGGCGGGGTGTCCAGGAGGGTATGGATTGGCTGGTGGGGAATGTTGGGGAGCAGAGTTAGGAAGGGTGGGATGGAACGGGATATGAGGATATACGTGCGATGGGGATGGGGATGAGACGGGAGCGGGGACATATGACGCGGCACATACGCGTCAGAACGGATTATTATACCAGCATAATGGCGTCTCGGCGCTAGGGTTGTGAATACGGGGTGGGGAGTCAAACGTCAGTAATTGCATGCGCGTTCTTGATGTCGATGGAAATGGGGATGCATTATATCGTGTGACGACGCGTCTAATAAACCTCCCACGTCAGATCTCTACCTGGTCTCAGCCGCCCCTCAGTCCAATCCTTGCCAAAGACGTACGCGCTGCTGATCTCTTCTTCGTCGATGCCCAAGTGATCTTCGCCGTCTCTGCCTTGGAACCAGCCCAACGCGTATGTCTTCCCACTCTTCTCGAGATGCTTCGTCATCTCCCTTGAGTTCAGCTTTTCCGTGTCGATAAAGCTGAAGAGCATCTTGGACTGGTGGATGAACGCGAGGACGGAGGCCATGGTGCCGATTTCTCTGGGCATGAACTTCTGACTGCGCTTCGCATAGGTAAGGAGAGCGATGCCGATAAGATAGATCAGGATGAACATGGTGAGAATGAAGCTCCACCAGAAGCTGCGAAACGTTTGGTCTGTGTTCCATCGATCAGATGGATCGCTATCCTTGCCGTCATGGTTACTGTCCTCATTCTCACCGCCGAAACCGGGTATGAATTTCTTACCGTCGACGCTGAGCGAACTTACGCAGACGGTTAGGATTTCGGCAAAGATGGATCCCCAGGCGACGAGCATGACAAGGTAATGCCCGTTGAGGAAAGCTTCGAATGGTAGCCAGAGAGGATTTGTACCAGCATAGTCGAGTGTGAGAGTCTTGGCTGGGGCATGTCGAAGAGAAAGAATGTAAAACGGTTGGAGCATGCGCACGTCGCTATTCATAGTGTTCCAGAGTATGCGTATGACAGTCGCTATCCCAGTCATCATCCATGGCAGCTTTTGTGTGATTATGCCCGTCTCCTCGACAAATGTGAAGAGTGGTACCGCAACGGTGAATAGGAAGAGAAAGCCAATGAAGAGTACACCCGCCCACATTCGAAGCATGAGCGGTCTAGGATCAGAGCCTTGTTCGTGGATCTTTTCCTTGCTCTTTATGTATTCTCCTTGCCAAAGTGAGCTTTTGTGCAAGATGTATCTTCTTTGGCGAAGCTGCTTGTGGATTTGTGGCAAGGAAGCCTGGTCGAGGCCCTTAAAGTCCGTAAGAATGTGGCTTTTCGTAGCCATGGCAGCGATACCCGCAATGCCCTTGGGATCTGACTGCAAGCCGCTTTTTCTTTGCATCGCGTACATCAGCGCCCCGCCACAAGCTGCGACAATCAGAAGGCACGCGGAAAGCGCTCTAGACCAGACTGGTTCGACTCTCACGGCTTTCCAGTCGCCGAGGTCACGGGCCTCCTCGTCTGGCCACATAGTCATAGAAGCACTCTGCAAGACAGGTACAAGACTACTAGCGACCAATGTGCCCAGTGAGCTGTAAATGACGGCGTATTGCCTGTGACGAAGTGCTCTCAGTGGGACCAAGAAACTCAAGAAGGTTAAGTAGTCCATGTTCAGCGATTCTCCCGCTGTTGCGCCTGTTTTCTTGGATAGCTGGTAGAATGGCTCCAGACGTTTCACCTCGAAATCCGACATTTGCCAGAGGACGCCATAGAAGACCGAGATCATGATGGGCGCGTATTGCCAGGCGAAATATTGCGCGACGGACAAGCTGTTAACCTTCTCGAACGACCACAAACCGCCTCTATCAGGATGCTTTTTGACACTGCGTAAGGAAATCTGGCAAACATATTCTTGTACACCAGCAAGTGCAATTGCAAGGATGATGAGCATAAGAATCCACCACGAGCTCATAGTAAGGGGTCGCCATGCAGGCATCTGGGGATCTGCATGCGTGTTAGATCCTATCTCTCGACACGTACATGTAGGGAAACTTGCCTTCAGGAAAGAAGTAGCTAGTCTGTGCACCGCTGGAAATGAGACCAGCCTCAGCCGTCAGAGTTCTCATAGAGTCGAAGTCGCGAGCAACTCCTGTGAACTCGCTGATATCGACTGGGATATCTGCTGCAACAGCAACGACCTTGCCAGTATTTTCAGCCTCGTCTTGCGCTTTTTTGGCCTGCTCATCTACTACATCCGCTCTTGTTAGAATTCGTCGGTGGCCTGGAAAGAAGCCTGGTACTGGTCCAGCTGGGGTGTGCTCAAACGGAACATGGAGCACAGACGTCATTCCAGCTCCGAGTTGCGCCTCGAGACGCTCAAATTCTGCGGCATGACTAGCTTCATCCATGTCTCTATCACGCTCTTGCCCTTCATGTATGTCCTGTGTCCGCGATTGCGCCTCGAATGTTTTCAGCGGCAGACCGCCTAGCGAGCTCAGATCGTATCCGACTGCCTCGTCCCCCTCATCGACTCCCACAAGCCGTCTTCTGCCGGGTTGTGATTCTTCATCATCCAGTCGGTTGTAACGTCCCCCATGAGAGGCTCCCCTGTGCAACGATGCGATTCGGTCGAGGACCCGTTTGGTCCTACTGTTGCTCTTGCCCAACGACGGTGATGCGCGATCTTGAGTAAACACGCTCGCGACAGGGTTGTATGACGTTTCTTGCGCAAACGAGGGCGGCGCTGGAGCGCGGGGTATGCGATACGAGGGTTCTGCGGCCGGTAGCAGAGGCGAAGGAAACGACTGACGTCTTGATGCAGGGGTGCTGCTAGGAGATGCGATTGAGGCGACTGAGGACGGTCGGGACGGAAAGAGTTGCGAGAGCCTGTCGGAAGCGCCAGACGTGTTCTTGCGACGCAGTGGTGGCCGAGCGTGGATGGGCGGGGTATCGTCAGTTGTTGGAGAGCCAACGCGCAAAGCAGAAGGAACTGTGATATCGGAGATTCTCCTACTGCTCGGGGAGCCAACCTTGAGGGGTGATGGTACTCCTTCGACGGATGGTGACCGCATTTCGTTTCGTGTATGCGCGGCGTGCGCTCACGTTCTTGTACTGTACAATGATGTTTGCAATGTGTAGCGACCGTAGGACGAAAGCGAGCGAGGTTAAAGGAAAGAGAGAAGCCACGAAAAAAGGCGGGAAATCACCAAATCGCACAACATGTTGCACGAGGCTGACGGTACCTTGCAGCCTATGCGTTGCACCGGTCAGCCTGGTTCCATCACACCAATATGCGCCCACGGATGCTTTCGCCCTACTCAGGCAGGAAAGGCTGCTCTAGTGCGGCACACCATGTGCAGTCCAGGCGAAGCGAACAGCTGTCGTGGAATCAAGCTCGCCGTGCCTTTGATTTGCGCTGGCGTCGCGGGGCTTGACGAGCCGCTCAGCCCTGTGCTGATCAACCCGCGTAACTCCAGACTGAAGGCTGATAGCCTGATGTTCGATGCCAGAAAGACGGCGTTGCGCAAAGGCGTCAGTAACGACGAAGGAGCTCAGAATGTTGAGCGTAACGATAGAGAATGCATCGCTTTACAAGCTGCAGCAATGCCATCACAACAATCGACCGGTCAGGATTTGGGGGCCAGCTGAGCTAAAAATACGGCGCTGTGCCGCTGCGGTCGAATGGCGTTCGAGTCTCGCCTGGCATTGCCGTCTGAGGCATGCCGGTGGCTTGCGATGGGGGCCAAAAACATCGTCATATCGTGTTGGGCACAACGACGGTCGCACGACGAATTACAGATTCGACGATGTTGGTGTTGAGCAGTTGGAGAAAGAAGGACCGGACTCGGAGCTTGAGGAAGCTCCTCTGATCGGCCCCGCTAGAGACGTCACGTGGACGTCCTTCTGGGCATGCGCTGACGGTAACAGCAAGCCCTCTGAGGCGACAACAACACCAGATCACCTGGCGAGGCTGCGCGACGACACTCCCGACTGTGCGCAATACATGTACAACGGCTGTTAGTTATTTGAGGATCGTCAGGGACTGAATGGTCGCACCACCGTTTGCACCACAGACACGCGCACGCATCTGGCGACACGTGGTGTTGTACACGGACAACGTTCTCAAAGGGATCAGAATATGCTCAATTGGCTAGCCAAGATGACTATCGTACGTTGCAGGCTTTACTTCGGTCGTCTGCACAAATGGCTCATCTTACTCAACATTACCTCTTGCGCATCTGCAGCATCGGTCCCTTCCTGCCGGCCACGAAGATGTCGTAAATCTGGTATTGATCCTCCGTCTGTCGCCCAGGCTTCCCATTTCGATTGCCTCCACCAAGTTTGTTCTCTGGATCAGGCCGAACCTCGTACATCCAGAGTGTCTTGGCAATGACAAGTCGCATCTCCAGCCAGGCAAGGTTCTTTCCAACGCAGCCCCTCGTTCCATATGAGAAGGCACAGAAACCGTTCTCCGCCAATGCCACACTCTCAGCCGAGGATCCTTCCTTTCCAGTCTCGTCTACGATCCAGCGCTCAGGGCGGAACTTGAAGGGCTCCGGGTAGACATTCTCGTTGTAGCTCAGACAGTAAAGACCGGTGCTGACGTGGAGGCCAGCGGGGAAGTAGTGATCGCCAACAGTCGTTCCGCCAGGAAGTACCTCACGGCTGGGCTCTGCTGCGACTGGTGGTGTCATGCGCATAGCTTCTTGAAGAAACGCGGTAAGGTATTTGCAGGACATGATCTTGGTACCAGACTTGATCTCGTCATAGCTTGAGAAGACCGACTTGACCTCTTCAGCAATCTTAGCCTGGACCTCCGGTCGACGAGCCAAGTAGAAGAAGGCGGCAGACATTACGACAGATGTTGTATCGGAACCAGCAATAGTCAGCAACTCGCACTCAGCGAAGAGTTCGTGCTCGCTGTAGCCACGCTTGCCAGTTTCGGGGTCGACAGCCTTGAAGAGCCAGTGAAAGAAGTCCTTCCGGACCTCACCCTCAGGCTTGGGATTGTTCTCCAATTCGTGTTCGACCGCGGACCGTTTCTCAAGGCATCCTTCAACGAAGTCCTGCCACTTCTTGACTACCGGCGGTGAGGCGACCTCCAGAAGCTTGTCGAGCCCACGAGGCTTCATCCATACCCAAGCGTTGGCTAACGGGCCGAAAGCAATCTTTGGAATGTCAGCATGGTCGATCGATGATCTGATGCAGGGGACTAACTGGATGGAGAATTTCCATGAATTGAACCATAACTTCGGGGATGTGGCGGAGATCGCTTCCAGGCTCCTTCATGTCGAAGTTCTTACCGAAGCACAAGTCACCAAGGATATCGAAAACAAGCCAGTTCATCCAGTCACACATGTTGATAGAGGTCGTCCACTCGCCAGCTTTTGGCGCTTGTTGACCAATCAGCTCCAACCAACGATCGATGTTCGCGTGAAGGAAGACCTCAGCATCTCGCAGCGCCGCTTCTGAGAAAGCGTAGTTCAACACACGACGCTTACGCGAGTGCACCTCAACACTGGTGGTGCTCCATGTGTTGATAGTGTGGACATTGCGTGGCCACACTTCGTAGTAAAGGCCTTTCTTAACATTTCCCTTTGGTCCAAAGATCTTCTTGAAAGCAGCAGGCGTGTTGAGCACGACACTGTCTGGACGATACCGGAACTCGGGTCCTACCAATCGTTAACAACTCACTGACTCTGGGGATGAAATCAGGCGACCATACCATACTTCTCCTGCAGACTATACAGCCAAACGTGTCGGTCGCCAGTACGAGTGTGCCACCATGACGGGAACACAGTCAAGCGGGCCCAGAACGGCCCCGGGAACGCCGCGAGTGGATGGAAGTAGAGGCGATAGATTCCAGTAACGATTACGTAGGTCGATACTAACAGAGCTGACAACACGAGAAGCCCTGGGTATGACCCATTGCCTTGGATATCTGTAATTGCCATCATGCACCTGGCTTATTCAGAGAAGAAGGAAAGTTTGACAGGAATCCGAAAGCGAAATGCAGAGCGTGGGGCCTCTTTTACGCCTTTCCATATGCTCGCCGACTTTGCAAATCGCACATGGTTGAACCTGTCGTGCTCCGCGGCATCTGAACCCTCACGGCTCCCAAATTAGTGCCCGTTGATTGGTCTCCTAAAACCTTAGGTCGCTAACTAGCAGCCGGGGCACCTGTCAGAAACGACTCTGAAATGTGGAGTTTTGCTTCTCGGCTGGGCTAAGAAAGGACCGATGGCGAGCCGCACCTCCCGCACCAGCTATCCATAACACATAGTTTGACTATCAAACAGTTACTGATGCTTACTGAGCGACGCCACTATCACGATGCATCACTAACTTTTTGTTTTGCTGGTTGTAATAAGCCCGCATATCGCGTTCCTCGCATCCACGTGGAAGATGGCGCATGTGCCGGACGCCCTCGAATAGGTGGGTCTCTCGCTAAGCCCCATGGGACTTTCACTGCATTTACCCTGGTCGGGTTTGAGACAATAACTTGATGGGCCTCGACAGGGTCTATACGGCGTCTCGACTCGTTGTTGCACTACTAAAACTACCAAGACGACGGCGTGAGTCCCTCTCGCTCCCACGGCACAGCATAGCGTGTGAGGGTCCTTCCGCTTCCGCGACCCATGCCGTTGTATGCAAGGCGTATGATTGGCAAACGGTGATTGCCCTCCAACGAGAGCTTAGCACGTTTTGGTTCCTACGCCGCCACAAAGCTTGCACACACGTTTGCGGCTTGCGCCCCTACCAAATGCCCTGCAATTCGTCATAGTAGGATTCCGGCAATGCACGACATCCACAGGAACGAACGCCACAAAGCAGACGCAGTGCGTGTTCATCCGAGGAGCTGCAAGGCGTCTGATATCTTCATCGCTTATGTCCGCCATCGATTGGTTCGTAATCCATTGCCGAAGCCTCATTTCTGACTCGCAACGGACGGCCAAGCTAAACCGTTTACGGCCAAAACGACGGCCAGGCACATGCGCTCAACACCAGGAAGTGGGATGATCTGCTCGAGTCGGCCATTTAGAATAACGCACAGCTCGGAGTTTATCCTGCCACGGCTACCCCGGAGGATTTTGATCGACGAGCGCAGTGATTGTCGGTTTGGGTACACACGCAGACGGCAGACTCGACCCCGCGGCGACAGATAAACAAATACGTTCTTATTTCTTTTTTCGCAAGATGCAAAAATCTACCCCTCTCATACTGATCATTCGTCTCAAGCCGCGACGCGCTTGCTGAACGAGAGGGCGTGCGATGCAGGCGTAGATTGAAGTCTTGCATAATTGAAGTGGAGTGACTTCCCATTTCGTTCCCGCGTAGCACGACGCCGTCTCCGTTGGGAGCGAGTGCCGGATCATCCCCCACCCACTCACATGTGAAGACGAGGGACCCTTCAGGCCGACCAGGACCCCCTAACCTGTAACTGACGATCCACTTCCCAGATGCTCCCCGTGTGTCAGTGCCTCGCTTCTTGACTTTATGCTTTGCCCAACAGCTCCAGCATGTCGGATTATTACTTCTCTCTGCCGGATGCTGCGATGGCCATTGGCTGATGCACAGCTAAACAAGCAAGTAAACCGTCATGGGTTTGAAGGGTTGTGATTTACAGACCTAAAGGGGGTCTCCCGCGACCGGGAGCGGCGGTAGCGGTAGGTGGATTGGGAACATCTGGGGAGTTCTGGTCAGGGCGTCTGCATGGGAGGTGAGGAAAGGTTTTTCTTTCCTTCTGGGCATCGCGTGTCTTGTGCCGTGTTCTTCTTTCTGATATATCATGGGTGCGTGTCTCGCGTTTTCCATGTGAGAGTTTCGTGCATCACCGTCAACGCCACTGCGACGTCTTGTTTCTCGCTGTTTGTGATATACCTGGTGTATACGCTGTCGAGGATAGGAAAGAGAGTGTGTACATGAATTGTGCATCATGGCGCCTATCATCGATCCACAGGAGAGCGTGTAAGTTGCTCGGGAGTGTCTACTCGCCATCTCTTTGCTCTCTACCCTTTCCATACCCAGTCTCCGTGGTCCTCCGCGGTTCACCCAACCCATGTCTTATCACGACCAGAAAACAGTGTCTTGGGTAGCATGCATCTGACATTCTCTCCAGCCAATCTTACCGCCGTCGTCTAGATGGAGTGGCGATATCGACTTATATCTTGATCATGCTACTTGTCCCCCTCAAGGTCTACTGTCGGAAACGGCACGGGGGATGGCGCAATGTTCAGATGGACGACTACATGTCCATGGTGGCACTGGCTGTGGCCAACGGCTTCTTCTACGTGTGCATAATAGGTACGTATCTTTCGTCATTGGACACGAATCGTAGGCTAACGCTGAGTGCTTGCAGGCATGCGAGAGTCACTGGGACTACACATCAATGAAATCACGAACCCGCTACAAATCATTGCTTTCCTACGGAATATCTACATCGGCCAGATTCTGTATACGCTCAGCATCACGAGTATCAAACTATCAGTCTTGGCTTTCTACTGGCGGCTCTTCGAGATCAAGTCCCGCATTACCATCTATGTGGTCACCGCCGCCTCCATCGCATGGTGTATCGCTATTGTAAGCCACTCATTCCACGAACACTGTCACCATCAGCGCAATAGGCTAACAGCATCGCCTCACAGATGCTCTGCGTAATCTTCAACTGCCTGCCTGTACGCGCTGCCTGGGACATAACCATCACGCAAAAGACCTGCATCGAAACGCGCGACATCTACCTCGGCGGCTCCGTCCCCAACGTAATCCTCGACTTCTTCATCGTCATCATGCCCATTCCGCACGTCTGGCGGCTGCACGCCCCCCTCGCCCAACGCATCGTTCTAGCCGGCATGTTCGCGCTCGGCACCTTCATCGCCGTCGTCTCGCTCGTGCGCCTCATCATCTTCCTGCAAATCCCCATCTCAGCCCAGGGCGACGTGACCTACAACTTCCGCGAGATCATCGTGTGGTCGATTGTTGAGATCAACATCGGTCTCACGTGTGCTTGTTTGCCTAGCTTGAAACCGGCTTTCCGTTGGATCGGCCTCGATAAATTGTTCTCTTTTGCTTCTTCGCGGCCGAGCGATATGAAGAGTCCTGGTCCGAGCTCCAATGGCGGACTGGATGGGTATATGCATGACTCGAAGAACTCCGGAGGGAGGCACAGGAAGAAGGGTGCTACGGGCGGGTTGTTTTCGACACTCGCGGGTATGAGTCGGTTGGAGGATGAGGAGGAGTTCAAGTTCGTTGGGGAGGATACACAGGGGAAGCATAATGTGGAGATTGAGATGGGAAGGGTCAGCGATGATAGTGCGCAGAGGACTGCGACGGGAGGGATTAGTGTGCAGAAGAATTGGAGTGTGCTGGTTGATGAGAGGAGAGTGGGTCAGCACCGGTAGTCACAGGTGGAATACACAAGGAGGTGTTTTGTACAAAAAGAAAAGGTTGGGTATATGGGTACACTAATTACACGACGAATAACGAGGTCATGTTATATACATCTTGTCATGTCAACAAGCTACATCGATACACTCGTGTGTTGGGGGTTCCAAGCTTAAGCGTTTGACATCTTGCCGTCGCCTGCGCCGGTGTTGAAGAAGAAAGAGATACAGCGAAGGATATGCACGAACGCAGTTCACACAGAAGAACTGGTAGTCGCAGGCGCGAAGTACGGGGTATCTCAAAACACTAATCAACGACTGTCTCGAACCCTATTTCCAGCTCCACCGAACGGTGCGCAGGACCGCATGGAAACCTCCTCGCCCTTTGCAAAATACCCAGGGTACGTCGGTAGGTCATCTCAGATTCCTTGGATCCTCGGTCGATGCGCACCCTTCCGTCCATGGACATATCCTCGGGCAACTGGAAGATGAGGAAGCTGCAGTCGGCTTTGGTCTGATTGCATATGAGACCGAAGAAGTCTTCACATGTTGTTTCCTTTCCAGTAAACATCAAACTGCCGTAAGACCAAGTCGGTCCAGGGCCGATTGGCTGGCCCGGTGGTTTGGTGCGATAGATTCGTAATTCAACTTTAAAGGGCGACGGCTCGGGTGAAAGCGCGCTTGTCCTGCGGGTCGGACATCCTATCTTGGTGCCCATCACCGAATCTTCAGACGTATCGGAGTCAACATCTGTTTGGTCTTCCTCGGAACGTGCGCGTTGAGGAGCGGGTTCGTCTGCTGTAGTAGTCGTACCAGTGCTGCGTCTCTTCCTCACTGGTATTTTCTCGCTTAGGGCTACGAATCTGCAACCTTGAAACCAAGGCTTATTATCGATGTTTAGGTCTCTTTTCTTGTATTTCAGGGCTTTCATGTATGTTCTGTTTATGAAGGTCTCTACGTCGGTGCGAGTCTGCCTGCAGAGAACCATGCCCAGCAGGTGTTTCTTGATGCTGCTTCCATTAGCTCGCACCCAGTACCTGGATGAGCGGACTTACGTGGTACTGTCTCTCGGATAGATCAAATCAGCCGGATATCGGGTACCCTCTTGTGGTTTTCGGAGATGGTCTCTACTTCCTTGACCAGGCTCAGGCCAGATCAGAGGACCATACTCGACTAACAGCTGGTCTAGCTCTTTATCGAGGAGCATGGGATCGTGTCGATCGATGACAGTATTTGCATCGTGTGCATCGCGTAGTAGTAGACCAAGCAGAGCCGGTACCTCGAGTTCGTGGATTGCAGTGGCGGGCTCATACCTGAACACTGGTTTTCTCATAACGAAGCCCGGTTCAATCCTCTCCCTCCCATACGTCTGAAGTCCAAGACATTCTATATGATGAGCAACGCCGATTTCGCCTTTTTGCCGCCCCATTGTCGGGTATAGTGGTGATTTGATGGACAAAAAACCAATTGGCAATTGTGATGTATAGACCGCAGCTGGCGACGTCGGTATGAAGCGGTGAGAGCTTGCGAATAGATTCCGAACGTGGTGGTGATGGAGTGGGCAGCGGTTTAATGCAAGGCGCCTTCCATCTAGACTCCGGTCGAGACAGACGCGTCCTCGCTCCTTCGTTGTTTACTTGACGCGTCCTCAATTGGCAAGGAGAAGCTTTCGTCTTATTCGTGCTCACTGATAAATCTCCCGCATTCCGATGTCGCGTGCTATACGTATCGCGACACGGTTGTTCGCGTTAAAGTGAAGGGAGATGGGATGTACCATGGCGGTGCTGCGACGGAGTTAAAATGCCATGCAGAATTGTGGGCCAATTAAAGCCCTGCACGGACGCTAGCGCGCGCAGCCGCATGGTGCAACAACAGACCGCCATCACCACCTACCAGTCGCTATCCGACATCTCGCCGGCATGCCACCCAAACACTCGGGCATGCCGCCCCAGCCCCAAAGAGCACGGAAGAGTGTGCGCACACCTGTGTCGAGGGCCCCGTCAACAAGCTGCAAGCGCGCCCGCGAGCCCAGTCTCGACAACAACAGCCCTCAGCCTGGTGACGCAATCCGGTTGCAAACACCCTCCAACTCAAATGAAATAAACACCAATTCCAAGGCGGCATCTCCAGAAAGCGATGCGCAGCCGGCACGTCGTAGCGCGTCGAGCGAACTGACTTCGCCAATGATGTCACCTAGGCTGCGTGCACTGCAGGCATCTATGGAAGAATCTCGAAACACCAGTCCTAGGAAAAACTCCATCTCGTATGATTGCTTCAACTCGCAACCTCATCTGAAAGGTCATTTTTATTCGGCCAATCAGCTCTTTGCGCGGGGCGTCTGGATTGGCTACCTGGCTCCGGACAGGCAAAGCCAATCATTCCGAGGGCTTCCCTCCTTTCACGACTTGAAGGCCAATTACAAGAAGTTCACTCCTCCACACCCTCCTATAGTATCAGGGAGTCCTAGGGAGAATCGCAACGCTGTCTGCCGAGGCTGTGCTAGGGAAGACTCAGCTGTTATTGCCTTCAGCGAAGTGCAGTTCGGACCGAAGGTTGTGAGTTGTACCGAGAAACATACAATCTACATCGTTCAGAGTACTGACAGCATACAGAAGGTCGTTATTATGCCACTCGACGGCGACGACGACGCTGGGGTTTTTGCCATCATGCTACCTCAGACGAGTGACAGGTCTTTACAAGGTCTTCAAGCCTATCGCCCCTACGAGGTAAGACTCGGATCAACGAATAGTCCATGGAAAACATACTGACCTCACATCTAATTCTGCAGATCAGTGGAGGTGGTCTGGGAGACAAGTTCGCCAACAATTTCATGATGCTCACACTTCGCAATCCTGACAGCGATGCTGGCACATTAGAGACCGTGCTCTCAGTGTTGTCTCCGCAAGAGCGAGCTGACATCGCCTCGAAGCTTAGGGGACTACCGGAACCAAGACATCGTCTCTCTTCTACCCCCAAGCTATCGAAATCTACTGATGAAGATGCTGCACATTCAGCACCGAATGCCGCACCTCCAGCATCGAATGCCATGGCAAAGGTCGATGATGATGAAAGCGATGCTCATACTAAGCAACCCGCAGCGAGGAAGCGGCGAAAGCTTAGCGAAAACAGGACACAGATATCGGACGTGATCGACGTTGTTCCCAAGGATAGCAGTACATGCCCTTCACAGTTGCAACCAGAACAACAACCGACACCACAACAAGAACCGACACCACAACCTGTGGCGGAGCCACAGCCAGAGCCGGAACCCCGAACCCAACCCCAACCCCAACCGCAGCCACAGATACATACACAGACTCAACGAACGTCAGAAACACCTGTCGACGATGTCAAACAGCATGCTCCAACGCCCGCGGATACATTCAAACCTCCGCCTCAAGCCATCAAGCGCACAAACTCGACTAGCATCATCTCTCTTGATTTGACCGACGAACAAGCCGAGCGCGTGTACTTTATCTGGTCGGTCGATGATGAAGGCATGGAAATGGATTTTATTCATACGCTGCGCGAATGCAAGTCTTTTGGAGGCCTGCTCAGCCTGTTGGAGGAGGAATCTGAGGACCTACCGTCTGCTGCGAGCATATTGGAGAAAACAAAAACCTGGAAACTGACATACGATCTTGGTGACGGTATCAGCAAAGCGATCGTAGCCCGCAAAGGCACGGAGACCGCATTCGATCGTCTACAGACTACACTTGCTCAAGCGTCTATCTGGGCAGACAATCCTCAAGCAAAAGTCGATATCGTACTCAAGTCTTTGAGCCGGCCAAACCCTGCTTGAGCGGCATGAACAACGGTCATCGATAATTCTCTTCCTAGAATTCCACCCTCGGCGTTCTTCGAAGGTGTGCTCTTTCTCACTTTCTCTAGCATCTATATACCATTGAGTACATCGATGGCTTTTTTGCGTTGTCCTACATATACCCCGATCACTTTTGATCTTTCGCGTGCGAGTTGGTCGAAAGCATCGATACCAGGCTGGCGGTTGTATAGCACTGGTGCTCCATGAGGCTGGGCAGGATCCAGGCAACTCATAAAATGTATATACATACGATTACTAATGACGATCTCTATGTGGCCTTTTCTCGCAAAACTTGCAGAGCCTCTGTTTGGGTGTGTGCATATGCTACAGCACATGCGATGATGTAGTAATTCCCCATCGCCTGTACACCAGCGAAATCTGCCCGCCACTGCGCATCTGATGTCAGTCGCGCCAATAAGTGGAAAAGGAAATGCAGTCGTATGCATAGACCTGGGCCACAAGACATTACTGTCAGCAGCGGTGAGCTGCATTTCGCCACCTCGTAGACGAAGAACAATGTGCACAATGCCTTGTGTAAGTGATTTGGGGGGATCGTCGGCTAACGCGATGTTCCAGCCAATCGGCAGCAACTGCCCTCTGGTTCCGCCTGCCATTCCCAGGCGGGTGCCGCTAACCTGTAGACGAAGCTTTCATACGCCGCTATGGTTTCTTCATCTGTACTTTTCTTATCATCTATCGTGTTCTCGATTCATCTTTGAGAATGTCGTTCGTTTCCCTTGCGCGCCCCATCACTGACTCGTACATGCTCTAGACGGCCCTTTGGCGAAATTGCACGATCTGGCTGCCCCAGTCCTGAGAGCATCTGCATGTAATCATACCCGAGAAAATCAGCACTACACATCACGCCTCCCTTGCATACTCGCGACACCACAACGCTCGGAACCCATACGACCGTCTACGGACGCATCGTTAGTCTACATTCAATTCACCTGGCGAAATTTCGCGATCCATGCATCTAGCCCAGACGCCATGGACGGCTCAGCTATCACATACGCAACGTCCAAGGACTGGTTGGACATTATGAAGAATCGATCAAAAGTGCGTATGCACGAGCTGATCGAGCGTCTTGGACTGCGCGCAAAGTGGTCATCGAACAAACGCGGTAAAACAAACTTTGAATCCGCCCTCGTACGCGAGCTTGTTGCAGACATGGGCGATGTTGTCTCCACGTTACCGAAAGAGCCGGATGAGCTGATGAAATTTCTGAGCGACGAGGGAAGTTTGAAGGAGCAAGTCGATGGCTTGCTTGAGAAACATGGCGCCAAGGTCTGGGGAAGAGTGGGCGATCGCGAGCACCTAATCACTGCGAATGAACCCGGAGTCGAAGAGGGACTTTACCCGCGGGATCTTTATTTGGAGAACGAGGAAGACAGAGCGTTGTAAGTACATAAACTCGAGAGCACATCTGTCTGGGGTTTGGGCCCTCGCAATAGAGCCGAATAGCTACTGACCCACTACGCAGAATTCACAAACTTCTCCATTGGTGGATCGGGCTGAAGGCATGCAACGTCATTCTTGCGCGCGAACGCCTGGATCGCGAGAGACGAAAGAAGGCAGAAAACCGCCAGGCGCGAGCTGATGCAGAGTTTTCTGGCCAGCAAGAGGGCGGCACGCCAGCATCATTTGTTGCGCTTGCACCAAACTCGGTGTTGCACGACGGCGATACAGCGTCACGTGGAAGCCCGATGTCGTCAAGTGCAATGCTCACACCTCCGGAATCTGGGGAAAGTCCCACTATGGGACCGCGGGAAGGAGGCGGGTTCACAGCTGTCAATGGCGGTGGACATGCAACGAATGGCAATGCCGCCTTTACATCGGCGAAAGCCCACGAACAACAGGCTACACAACAATCCAACATCGCCGAGGGTGTCTGGAACAAACTTACTGCTGAAGCGAACAAGTCTCGATATCTCAGTACGATGTCAGGCCCTGCTGCTACCCACGCTGCACATCCTACCGAGACCAAAGCAGCGGCACAACAGCAAATCACCGACGCGACCCAAGCGGCTGCTGATCGACAAGTCAGCGTCCAAATGGCCGCGCTGGTAGCAAGCTTTCGGTCAGATAACGGTGTGCCAGAAGAGCTCCCGCAACCAAACAACAGCATACCCTACCGTGGTTTAGACTACGACGGCTTACGGGCGCTGCGGCAGTACATATATGGAGAGGAGCGAGGTGTTTCAATGGACGAGGAAGCGCTCCTCAACCAACTCGAAAGAACATGGCGAGAAGGCGTTCGAGCCGACTACAATAAGATGATCGAAAACATACCCGTTTTCATTGCGAGGGAACGAGCATTTCTGACTTGGGTGGAACTTAAGCGCCACCTGGCAGCTCTATTACGAGCAAACGAACGTACGTTTTACCAACTGCATCTGCATCCATTCTATCTTTACTTACCCTACTGCAGGTTGGTCAGCCGAAGGCCACACAGCTGCCGAGATCGAGAGGCGCATCCAACAGCACCGCACGCTCATGGGCTGCACGCAAACCATCATCGCCAATTTTGAAGATGTGGGCCGAGGATTTGGTCTTGGCCCCAACGTTGCTGTCGACCGCGATGAGCTCCTGCGACAGGCCATTGTGGTGTTGGCCGGAGAAAAGTACGCAGTAGAGATGCAGTGGAAGCCAGTAGACTTTACGCAAGTAATGGGCTGGCTGCACGACCACCTGGAGAGCTTCCGCAAGGAAGAAGAGGAAGATGGAAAGGGTATGCTCTGGTATATTGGCGAGTCACGACGCTAGTCGCAACTACCACGATGGAGACACGCACGTATCGTGCGCGCGGGCAGCTGTAGTCGCAAAAACTGTGTACGAGGATCATACAGGCGTTCAGGTTTTCAGGGCGACGATCGATCGCCAGGGTCGAGGCCCCCACTAGTAGGTGTCCAATTCGGGAAAATAAGCTATTCGGGTAGGTCAGCCGTAGAGTGGTGGTTTCAGCTACTTGATCATGTTACAGGACCGTGTAGGATTACACTAGCTCAGCTGTGCCACACCTCATCACCATGCAGTACGGGACTCTGCGACGCGTGATTTGCTTTAGTTTGCGATCGCCTGGAACGCGCGAGCGCATAGTGAGGGCGCGACTGTACGCAACTTCGATAGTTCGGCAGCTAGTATCCGAATGAATACACGGCTCGGCAGCACTTCGCAGTATACCTTTTCGCTTAGTGTATTCCCTGCAGCCAAGGGGCGTTGTCTTCAGGCTCCGCACTGCGCCGTAAATCTCCCTAATGCCACGTTCCTATTTTAGAGTGCAGGCAGTGACCGCGCCGCACATTCGTCACATTGCCTCACATTTTTTTCTTTCGAGCTGTGGCGTTTATCAGATCTCGCTGTACCTCCCATCAATATTATGCGGCGCGCGGTCTGGACAGGAACCGGTCGCACAGTTGAGTAATCGCAGCTCGGTAGTACAAATCTATGGGTGAGGGACGAGCGCGTCATAGATGCATGTGTAGTTGTAACTCCTGACCATGATACCAACGACATCTATCCCCGGCTATACGAAACCGTGATAGTGCCGCTTATTCGCTGATTGCATGTGGCGGCTAATGGAGGCTTTGAGTAAGAGGATCGGATGTTTTGGCCTATGCGAGTAAGAGTTGTGCTGCTAGCGACATATTCATTTGTACCTCGTGTATGATGAAGACCCCTGCGATAGATATGATTAGCATAATGCAGCAAATGAGCACCACGCTCATAGTGCAAGTGTCGTACAATGAACAGGCAAGGGCAAAGGAGACCCGCTGGGTGTGAACGAATGAGGATGGGGCGGTACTATGATTACACCTGATGGGGATTTATTGGCGTGCGAGTCATTAACTTCGGAGTGCGGACGCGTATTACCTCTGCACATGTTTTGTTGCGGCCCCTGCCGGATCATTGTCTCGCTACTGGACACACCTCTTTTCTGGGTATCTTTTCGACGCAGCGTACCGTCGTTCGCCTTCTACACGTCACCGGCATCAATCATCATCACCAATCCTTCTTTCGCCGCCCAACGCCCCCCTCATCAGCGCCTGTCGGTTCCTACTCCAGAGTACAATTGCTGCGCAGTTTGTTCTTCTTGTGTGTACAGGGGCTTTCAATTCTTTGTCTAGTTTGGTAGCACGATCGGCATCTGAGACTGGACAAAGTTTTTCTCGGGGTAGCAGCAGCTGGCAATAAGAAAACTTTGTTCCAAGACGGCCTAGTGGAACGTACTCCTTTTACCTTTGCCGAGCGAGCTACCATCAATCACCCCAACCTTGGAACGTCGAGAGCGGATCCATCACACTTTGGCGCACGCGCCATTGATTGTCATTCCCCATCCCATCCGCTTACTTTTCCATCGTCATTTTCCTACTTCCCATTTCAACTGTTGACGTGCCCGTCGTCACCCATGTGGCGCCATGAGCTCAAAGGATAACTTGGCCCTGGATCTGGAGCACGGCGTGCGACGCTGGGATCGCGCTCGCTGGATATCCGTCTTCAGCTCGCATAACCCGACTATACGCGAGGTGACGGAATGCTTGGGCCTGGGCTTATCGGCGTCTTCGTCCACGACCAACCGCGGCATTCCGAAATTCGACAACCCAGACTACCGCAAGCTCTCGAGTGAGGTGACGAAGCTGTCCAAGGAATTGCCAAAAGAAAGAGATTTGTTGCTGGATTTCGCGGCGGATCCGAGTTCCCTGAACCAGGAGCTCGAGGACCTGCTAGCGAGTTACGGACCCGCTATTTGGGGCAGGGATGCGGATCGCAGCTGTTTACTCACGCCGGATGCGACCAAGAAGACGTATAACAAAGATCTGTTTTACGAGGAGCCGGAGCATAAGGATATGTAAGTTGGAGTGGTCAGGTGTCAGGTGTCAGAATGCGCGCTAAACCTATTCCAGTCTCAAGATTCATCTGCATCGGTGGATCATCATCAAAGCTTGCTACTACATTCGCAACATGAAGTTGAAGAGACCATCGGGTGCGAATGAGTATGATCAGCTTGCCGATATCGACGCCGAAGGTCTTGTAAGTTTTGATGAGATAGTTGGTGTTGTCATGGCTAATAAGCGGTAGTCACCACATGGGACGCCACAGTCACTCACCCCACCTGATCCGGATACTGTTGCAGGTGCTGATCTAGACGTTAAACCTATTAATCTGAAGAAGCGCAAGAGCAATGCTCACCTCACCATGTCCGACGATGAAGATCCTGAGGCTTCGCCTATCAAAAGGCCGTACAGCACTATGCCTGTGAGCCGAAAGGGCAGCCCAAGGAAGTCACTCAAGTCACTGTATCCTGCCGGCCCGGGCAGCATGGAGAACATACCTCCTATGCCGACGCATATGCATCGTTTCTCGCCAGCACCAGGAACCGCATCTGAACCCTCGCGGATACAGCTCAGTCCCTTATCAAACAACGACTTGAACGGCGTGTCAAGGCCTCCTGCTATCACCCAAAGCTCCGCACCTGCAGGCTTCACGGCTGTCAACAATGGAGGTTTCACTGCTGTTAACAACACGCCTCCACCTAGCGAGCCACCTCGAGAGCCAACACGGGAAGCATCCCGAGAACCGTCGAGAGAGGTGCATCGACCCCCTCCCGGTATTGGACATCGTCACAGCAACAGTTATACGAGCCCATATGAGCCGTCTTCACGCAGTGCTGCCATGGCTCGATCTGCTACGGAAACTCCTCGTTCTGCACCGCCAGCCACCCCTACACCAGCTTCGAATCAAGGATTTCAAGCAGTGAACGCATCTTCAGCAGCTAATGGAGCAGGTGGATATATGAAGAGGGAGTCGCCTGCCGTTCAACCTCCTCAGCATACACAAATTGCTCCGCAGCCACAGCAGTCGCAACCGCAACCTCAGGCACAACCGCAGCAGCAACAGACACCGTCCCACCCTTCACACCCACACCAGGCATCACCGCATACACATCATCCTCAGCATACACAGCTACCATCACATCCGCATATCCAGGCTCAGCAACAGCCTCCACCCCAACCACCAAGTCGATCTAATACCCCGAGCCACCCCTTCGGTCGTTCCCTCGCACCACACCCTCGCAGTAGATCTAGTACACCACATGCGCAGGCCGCACCTAATCAGTCTATCATGGCACCTAATAAGCAGGTTACCTCTGCCCCCGCGATACAAAGCGCCCCCGCATACGGCATACAACTCGTTCCTACCACACAAGACGCACCGCCCGCGCCCTCGAGCAAACCCCGAGCCCCCTCAAACCACAGCCAACCCGCCGCCGCCGCCCAACACACCTCACCGCACCAACCCGTGCTGAAAAGCCACCAACAACCGCCTCAACCCCCCGAAACCGCACACGTCGTCCAGCCCCCACAACCACAAAACTTCCCCCGCGGCTCCGTCTCGACGGCCGACCTCCGCCTCCTCCAATGCGAAGTCACCGCCGGACTCTTCACCTTCTTCTACCCTCGCTCCACAATGCCGCCCGACGAAGCCAGCCTCCTCGTCCGCATGCACACACTCTGGTACCACGGCGAACCCCTCTTCCGCACCGAACTATCCACACACTACGATCTCGTCTCCAAGATCCTCACTGCATGGTTGCACGAACGTCAAGCCATCGCTTCACTCCGGCACAGCATGGCCGCCAACCCCGGCGTGTCTCACATTGGCCTTGTAGACCGGTTACTTGCTATGAACGATCTTAGGGCTATGCGGTTGAAGTGGAAGAATATGAGTAGTATTGATGGATTGAGTCCTGAGGATCTGCTTTGCATGGCTTTTAGGGTTATGACGAATACGGAGGGGAGCGAGTATATGTTTAAAGATGGGTTGGCGAGGTTGGAGCTGGGTGTGTTTGAGTTTTTGAGGAGCGAGGATGCGAAGATTGTTATGCAGCGGAGGGATACTAGGGCGGGGTGATGTCAAGTCGGTTCAGTGGGGGGTTGAGGTGGTTCTCCGACTGCTCTCTCCTTCTGTTCCCTCCTTCATCTTCTCCCCATTCCCAGTTTCTTTGCTTCTGCGATCTGCTTCGGTTCCCGTACCCGTTCGCATGCCATTTCTCTTCCTCGATTCCGATTTCGATCTTTCGCTTACCTTTGTACTAATGCCACTTAGCGTGGGTGGATGGGGTCCTTGCGCATGTTCTCTCGTTTTCTGGCGTTGACTTGCTTTTAAAACGTATTAGCGATGGCGTTTGGGACATTACCTCTTTCGTTCGACTATTTCTTTTTCTGTGTTCAATACGAAAAGCGGGTGCGGATTTCGATATTAGCTTGTGTTACTAAATTGGTATGAGTAGTCGTAATCGGGCGGTGGGATCGAGATTGGGGGCGTGGTAATGAATGTGCGATGCGGAGTAGAATAATTGACAACAATCGAAGAATGAAGCTTGTATTAATCAGTCACAAAACGAAAATATTGAAGTTGTGAAAACGTTTTGCGTGATGCTGTACCCGACGAGACTCCATCTTCCACTCGCGCAATGACCAGATGCGATCATCCATTGGCGGTCTGGACCTATGAGGTCGTCTGACCACACGTCCTCACGTGCACCCTCCGACCGGCCTCAGCGCATCATCGCGAGTTCTCGCCCACCCATCCCGACTAAGACACAACGACACCCTCTTCACGCGGCCTCGCCCCTTGCGCCCCCCTTCAGCCTTGTCATGCGAACATGGCAGGGATTAAACCTGTCCCGCTGCGATGCGCCTTCCCGGCGGCCGCCCGCCGTAGCTGCTTCCGGAACCTTGTTCCTTCACATCTGCCTCATGACACCCTCCAGGCGCGCCAATCCGGGCACTCACCGGTAGTGCCCACGCACCTTCACTACCATGAGCGGCCTCGTGAATGCCCCACGCGCTCGCTGCAGCCGCACACTATTTTATAGCCGTGGATCGTGGACCGCATATGATTCCACACTCTATCGCTTATCCTGTACTACGCGCGTGGATTTGGCGCCATGGTGCTGAGACTCTTTGTGCCGCCTGGTATGTCTCGCCGGACATGATGTGGAGAAGCTTTTGCTAACAGAACGCTATAGGCGAAGGACAACATCGCCTTACTCCCAAACGACCTGATCCCATCGGTGCGAACGCGACACCTCAGTACGCCGTCATCTCCTCGACCGCCCTTGCCGCCGCGTATACGTCCTTCGCCTCGAGATATGCACAAAGTGTAACCCCTACGAAGCCAATATCGCGGCCAGCGGTGTTTATACGGGCTTCGGCAAGGCTGGGGGTTTGGGCAGGCGTGGCTGGAGCGGCGCTGAACTGGTATTACCATTCTTCTTTTGCGAATGTCCTGGCGTCGACGAATATACCGGAAGTCAAGCCCTGGAAGCTGTACGAGCGGACGAAGAAATATACCGTTGACGATGGTGCTTTGGCAGGCGCGGCATTGGGCCTGGCTGTCTCAGTGCCTACGCTGTTTATGCGCCGGCCTGCTATACCCAGGTGGACGCGGTGCTTGGGCATGGCAAATATCGGCGCTTGTGCCGGTGTCCTGGGAGCGCATGCGTACTTCCAGTACAGCGGAGAGAGGCAGGAGGCATACAAACACTTTGGTCGACATGTCAAGCGACGATCATTCGAGTTCTGGAACATCTTCTGGGATCCGGAGCTCATGGCGAGCCTCGACCCCATCATGCAGCAATACGTCTCACACAACAGCCTCTGGTACACACGGTGGCTGTCAGAGGAGGCCTTTGAGCGAGCAGAACAGGACGTGCAACTCGAAAACAGCAGCAGTGAGCCTATGGCAATTGCTGCAACACCTGTCGAGCAACTGCCACCATTCTACACTACACCCTTCGATTATGCCGAAGACCTGCGACGCATCGACATTGAAAGCACGCTGGCTACTATGCAAACCATGGAAGCGGACAAGAGGGAATTACTCCGGGAGGCCGAATACCTGCTCTACATAAACGCACAGCAAAAATACGACCACTGCCACATGGAGTCTACGGACGAGGACGAACGTCAAAACCTCCTCCGACAAATCCAACTTGTCGACATAGCATACGTCAGTCTTCGCAACGCAGCCCACGACATCGACGTCAAGCTCGCACAATGGCGCATGTCCGTCCGACACAAAACCATTTGGGAAGCAGGCCAAACCACCGCGACAGGGACGGACAGGCCTGCCGACTGGGTACCCGAGCCGCAATGCACATCACCCACTACCGAAGCCATCGTCCCCGCCACACACAAACCGACATACTCAATGGGCGAGTTAGAAAGAATACATAGGCAGATTTCTGCAGAGGTCAAGACATTCGAGGATGGTTGGAAAGATGATAGACATCCAATGGATAAGAGGGAGAGGTGGAAGAAGGATGCAGAAGATGGGAGGAAGCTATTGAGAGCGGCGGATGCTGTATTGTTAAGGTTGCAGAGGGCGAGAGAAACGGTTGAAGACAGTGGTGTGACCGTGGAAGCGGGGGTCGATAGCGCGATTGCGATGAAAGAGAAAGAGGAAGAGGATAGACGTGGGAGCAGAGATGGTACTGTTCCGGCAGCAACGGCTGAAGTCGCGGAGTTACAAGAAGGTCCCTTGCTTACTAGAAAACAGGTTGAGAAGGCGAGTGCGCATGGAGTGCAAGCGACGAAAGCGTCTGCTGGGGCTTTCGATAAGGATAAGTCGTGAGAATGGACTTGCTGAGGGTAGAGTTGGTTTTACTATTCATTGTCCAAGTCGTGGGTGAGATGGTACCGAAGAAATCGTACCAGAAGCGAGGACTCGACACGATCAACGCTCGCATATGGGCCTGCTGTTTGTCAATGTATAGTATTGTTTTGCCCTTTTATTAAGGATCGGACGGGCGCTGGATGTCTCGTCAGGCGGATGTCTATGTATGTGGTGTAAGTCACTACCATTACTCATTCGTCCACCTCATCATGTTGTTTGTCTGCCTCGAGGTCACTCTTACGTCTTCAGCATCCCTGAAGATCATTCTTCTCTTTTTCTAGTGTGTCTTGCTCTGTGTCCTTGTCCACGTCCACTTCTATTTTCACAACTACACTGGTTACCTCCCTCTCGAACGTCGTGTCACCGGATTTCCTAGAGTCTACATCCGTCCTCGCGATCTTGGCCGCGCTCGCGCAAGTGTCCACGTCGCTGCTCGGCTCGCCGGAGGGTCACGCTTCCGCTTCATATATCGCCACTGCAGTCGCCAAGCGGATGGCATGAGGAGGGGTGGTTTCAGGGGCGACTACCCGGGTATATTCCTGGGTAGGATGGCGATAGTTGACATGACCTAGTTTTGGAGACGAAGATTCTGGTACAAAAGACATCTGCATCGCGCGTTATGCCTTTACTTGAGCATCTTCATATCCACGAAAGCACTGCACGACTTCAGCCTCGTCTTCGGCCCTTCACCTTAGCCACTGGGAATTTTACCACAAAAGCCTACATATTAGTACCGGCTCTAACCACGTTTGAACCTAGTGCTAGCGTAAGCTGCACTGTCCATCTTGTCTCCCAGCCCTGTACCTACTGCTATCGCGTCGTCGATCTCGACATACCGCCTCAATTGAAACCGGCGACTTGGTTCGGAACTTTGATTCCCATCGCAATTTGACATTCCCCCATCACCCATCATCACGATGACCGGCACTTACCTTGACTACCGCGCGATCAGCGGGCTGTCAGCTTGAAACATGGACAGCTCGTAACCTTCTACGGATGTTAGCATCAGCACCTCGCGTTTCTCCTGTCAAACGTCTCTGGCTAGCCGCGCAATCTGTACTGCGGTCTACTCTCATG